CTGGAAGAGAGGGGCTGCAGGGGGTGATTAGCAAGTTCATGGTGTGAACTGTTCACATGTCCTGGTACCTCCATGTACCTCCAACTCCTAAAACTACACAAACATCCATCACTGGTGGTTAGTAACAGGAACCAGGTTTTATCATAAATCCATTGCCATACTAACTCATCTTTTTACTCACAGATAACATCAAGGGTAATTGTTGGAGAAAGTGTCTTGCCCACGATGTTACTGGCTTCACACCAGTAGTTGCCAGATTGTGCTGGTTCTATGTTTATGAGGTTCAAGTATGCATGTGGAGAATCCAGTAAAATCTTTCCCCCATCTTTATACCATGTGTAAGTGAGATTCACAGGGTTTGCTTCATCCACTTCACAATGCAACACAACAGTACTGCCTTCATCAATCTGACCTCCTGGATTTTTCCAAATGTTGACTTTCCTGGGAGCAACTGCGAGAAGATAAATCAAAGGCATAAGATTGGCATCACCAGTTGCAGAAACATTTTTCTTTGCTTGGGTATCATGTGCTGTAACCAGTGATGTGCTAGAGCTAGGGAGGACAATAGAGTGTCACTGTTTGACCCATGCTACATTGTAATTTTCTGCTGTCTAAAGAGATTGAGGAAAAGCCCACTGCACTTGGGTGCCACTTTACCCACCTAGATTTGGGGGCACCTACACTTTCCCCCTTATGGCCTCTTCATCTCCCCATGAGCATGCTATATTTACCAGCAATTGATGTTTCAGAGCTTTCAGCTAATTAATTAATTGGCCATACTCACAGAAGATATCCATTGTGACCAGTGGAGATGAAGTGCAGCCATAAATATTGCATGCTTCACATTTGTAAGATGTCACTGGCCCAAAACTTGCAGGGAAGGTCAACAGCTTTGAACTGCTGTATTTATAATCAGCTGTATGGGAATCGATCTTCCACCAGTTGTACCAGCTGGTACTAGAGACACTACGACCCACAGAGCAGTTCAAAGTGACAATATGTCCTTCTTTTATGGGCAGATCATTTACAACAAAAACCTGGACATCATTGGGACAAACTGAAAAAAAAAAACAGCAGGTCAGTGTGGGAGTTTTTGTGTAGAAAATAAAGCTATGATAATATTTCAGATCAAAGTGTATATTCCCAAAAATCATGCACTAAGCCTTACTCGGTAATTTTTTTTAATGTTCCAGAACAAGACAAGGGCATATGGTGTCTCTGCTGTTGTCAAGAAAACTGCATGGTCTTGTCCGTGACCAGGAGTCAAACCTGGTGAGACGAGGCTTTAATTTTGTACTCTTCTCAGAGAAACCCACCCAAAGTTCCTCAGTTCTTCCCAACTACACACTCACATTTCATATCTAGCTCTAGAGTACTGGCTGATTTCCGTGAGATGTCCTTATTACTCAGTAAGCAGGTTATTGTTTTCCTCCTAGGCCTCCCAGTTGGTTGAATGGTGACCGTCTTCTGCAGTACTCCATTTTTAATCATTGTGGTTTCTACAGTCGAATGATACTTCTCTAGGCCTTTGAAATTCATTGCTATTGGATCTTCTGGGCAATGGGAAGGCACAGAGCAAACCACCTGCAGTGCCCACCTTTCTTGGCATTTCAAGATTTCTAATTTGGGTTTTGGAAATGAATCTGTATCCAGAAAATAAAAGGAAGAAAAATGGGAAGAAAAGCTGGAAGAAAATAAATAAGAATTGAGATATAGGACACAACATGCTAAATGGCATTAAGGCAGCAGGATAATGTAATCAGGTTGAAAGGCTTGGAAAGATTCAAAGCCAGCACAACAAGGCATTTTAGGAATTGCTTAACTTTATTGACTTTAAGTGCTCCCAGGCAAGAAGAAATTCCTTGTACATCAGCAACCTGCCTGTCCATAAGTCACATCCTTCTGCCAGTCTGCAGCAGGACTTGGACCAATGGATTTCTGTTCTATGAGAAGCCCTCTATGCCCTTTCTCTGCTTGGTGATAGCAACTCAGCATCATTTCTGGATGGAAAACCCTCAGTGGAGACCTTGTAGATAAGACTTCAAGAGGATGGAGATTGTATCCAAAGTAAGGAGCAATATCTATACAGGTCAGAGAAGAAATCAAAAGCATTCTGCAAGGTTCTTACCAGACACATTCAGTGTAGCTGAAGTATAAAGGATTTGTTTATTAACTTGGTTTTCCACAGATGCCATCACTTGTATCCCATATGTGCCATTGTCTTTCTTCTGGAGCTGCGTGATCATCAAGCTGCAATTTCCCTTGCTTAAATCCCCTACAAACCTCACCCGCCCCTGAAAGTCAGGGCTTGGTAGGTTTGCTTCCTCATTTGGGATCCTGGAATTATTGTATAAGATGTGACCAACATAGTCAAATAAATTCATATTCAAAATAGGCTGAAAATACCAAATCACAGAGGTGGCAACGATTTTCTTAGAATTAAGTCTTTCCTCAATATGACATGGAATCAAGACACAGGATCCTGTCCAGGCCACCAAGGAATTAGGACTTATCCTCAGTGGGTTTTCATAACACCAGAAACCTGCAATGGAGAAACACAGGAGAGATCATGGCCAGCTTTTCGGTATCAACCCAGAAAACCAATACACACTATATTCATCCAGGAAAGTGCTCAGTTAAATCCAGGTGTTGAAAGATGCCTGAAAGATACAATCATGGGGTCTTCATGAAGTTCAAAGGGAAGAGCATTCCAGAATGCAAGCACTATGTAGAGAATAAAGAAGATGACCCTGGCAGAAATAAGCCAGGATCCATTACCAAAGCAACAAAGGGAAAAAACATGTGTTAAATCCAACATAAGAAGACACAGAGACAGGCAGACACCACCCCAATTCACATGAGTATAGGTGCGGGGGAAGGGGGAGTAATGCAGAGTCAGAGTTGCAAGATTCTTAATTAAGTATTAATAAATGTAGCCTTCATATAGAAGACTTCATCCAGACAGCAATGGAGTGTGATATACTCTCCAGACCAACTGGAGAGGTCTGGAGGCAACCTGTATTATGCTTGCCCTACCTTGAAAGAACAACAGCCAAAGGAAGTGCCTCATTGTCAGATCATGCAGTTCCCAATTCTGGGAAAAGAAAAGAAGATGGTTGAGACCTGCCTTCACCATTCACAGTGAATATACTGATAGGCTGGCTTTGTCCAACACATAAGCTTAGCCAAAAGAAGAACCCAGTTTAACAAACTGTGAACTGCCACAGCAGCAATCCTGTTGGACCTGCACAATATAGGCCATTAAACAGGCTCGTGTATTCCATAAGTCCAAAAAGGAAACTACATTAATAACTGATCTACACAATGTATGAATAATATTTGAAATGAATGCATAAACTCAGCAACTCACTAATGCAAATAGGAAGAATTATGGGGGTTATCTGCATAAACTTAGTTGGGAAAGAGCATCCCTGGTCCCTTTAATATCATGTTATTCCCCACAGCTAGTAGAATTAGAATCATTTCCACACTAGTGATTTATAATGTCTGCATGGCATCACTCTGCCCTTGTGGAAGTGATATAAACCTGTCTGTGTGGCTATCACCTTGGCACAACAATGGCTGAATGACTCAAGAAAACACTGTAAAGAAAACAGGAGTGACCTTAACTACTTAGGAAGCTCTGCTTCATGATTTACAAATGATCACAGCTGAGTTCTGACATTGCTCCAAGCAAAGAAATCATATTACAACTTAGTGTAATTTATGACCCTAACCAATGTTTCCTGTTGCAAGGAGGCAATTATCTATGTGCTAAACTGGAATACCTGATCTACAAAATCTAGAAATCTTGCCATTTGTCTCCACTCCCATTTTGGGGGAAAACTTTGCACATGCACTCTATTCTCAATGCGCAAAACACTTCACATGTGCACTGCATTGCCAATCAGAAGCTCTGTTGATTGTGGCCAATGATCAGGGATCATGAGAGTTGGAATCCAACATTTCAAGGTCTAGACCAGTGTTTCTCGACCTTGGCAACTGTATGGACTTCAACTCCCAGAATTCCTCAGCCAGCATGCTGGCTGGGGAATTCTGGGAGTTGCAGTCCACACAGCTTAAAGTTGCCAAGGGTAAGAAACACTGGTCTAGAGGCTTCCCACCTCCACTAGACAAGGTAGAGGATACAAGATTTAGCAAAGGTAGATGATACAAGACTTAGAAAAGCTCAGCTGTAACACTGCCTGAAAATTATGAGAATTATTCATTGGATCTGCTATAAAACACCCTTGAATTATTTTCTACGAATGAACTATTTTACAGTGTAGGAGGACAGTGTCTAATCCATCTGATCCAATAAGGTTAGTTAAAAGAAAATGCTGAGAACCATATCTACAGCTCAAGTTCACCTTTGCACTTTCCAAAATATTATATTATTTTTATAATTCAGTGGGACACTGGATTATCAGGAGCAAAGTAAAATAAAATGAAAGGAGAACGAACTTACCAGTAAAATAGAATTTCAGATCCACTGTTCTTTTCTGGAAATGAACTTTTAGCCAATATGAGGCACATCAGAGGGAAGTTCTCTCTTGTGTTTACATCTGTGTGTTTTCCCCCAAATCAAATGTTTGTATACCTGGGGAACATTTAAGGGTGATAATGGAAAAAGTCAAGGACAGTTATTGGCAACTAAATAGCTGACATTATATCTGACCAAACATCCTTATTTTTTTCATATTGGTGGAAGAAGCTGGGAAGTGTGATTTATGTGGTATTGCGTACATAGCACTGGATCCTGCTTCTAAAATACTGTATGTGCAATAAGAAATTACCAAGATCTTTCAGTTCTCACTAGAGTTTGATATCTCTCCTGGACAAAGCAGTGTTCTTGGGCACTGAACCACCCCTGCCTTTCCTGACTGGCTAATCTCTAGATAGGAAGGGCTATGATTCCTTCTTCCAAGGTGGAGTTCTATGGATATTTGAGACTCCACATCACAGCTGCCCAAATCAGCATGAACATGATTGGGGTAATTGTTCCAAAATTTGTAGAAAGTACAAAGTCACCTAATCCTGTATTAGAACAACATTGTTCATGGAACGTCCATGTGGTCACCAGGAATCCAGCTCAAGTCCACTGATATGTTAACTTTTTTCCCTGTTTTACCTCTTTAGGACAACTCCTCATTTCCCTTTAAGTGATCAGCTCTGACACCATGATAGCATAGGAAAAAAAAAAGTCAGAGGTTCTGGATTTCAGATTGCACCTTGCAAACTTACACCACTCACATAAATTGGCCCATAGTCTACCTTGTGTCCATTCCTCCCCTTTATGACCATCTGTAGTCAATCTACAGATCATCCTCAGACCATCCTGTTGCCTCTGAAGCCCTCCTTCCCTCAGTACAAACTTATTTGGAGTCCTGACAAAGCAAACAATGGAGTTATCATTAACAAAAACTCAGAGGGACAGAGTTGACCTGAAATAGCCAGAGGCCCTCTTGAAAGTATTTGGTGCTTCTGCTGTCAGTATGCATGTTAGACCAGAGATAGCCAATGGGGAACCCAACAACTGGGGGACGAAGAGAGATCAAGGCTAGAGAGGATGGGGCAAAAGTGAGAAATGAATAGGGCATAGTTATATTGGATGGGGTTGGGATTTTCCATTTTCCCCCAAGTTTATTGGGGGGCTTAGGGAATTCTTTTTAAAAAATAAAAATAAAAATAAAAAATAAACCATTTCATTGGCTATCCTCTCCCAAAAAAAGGGGCTTTGGACCCACATGCAAATCTGGAGAATGCATTTGTTCTTTCCTGATTTGTACAATGACCTGTCATTCCCCCTCCCACACATACACACACACACTTTCTAATTTCCAAAATGCTCATAAACCCCATTGTCATCATCAGCAAAATGCTTCCAAAGTCCAGGGTGTTTTCCATGTTCTGACATGACTTAAATTGGACCTGGCCAGCATCTCATCCCCATGAAAACCATTGAATATTAGAGGCCACTTGGCCAGGCCTTGAGATCACAAGGGGTTCTCAGATTAAGATTGTACTTTAAAATGTGTATATATACACACACACACACACACATGAAGTCTCTTGTGTGTCTCTTTTTCTTCCTTTTTTTTTAATATTTCATCATGTATTTCTTTTTCATATAATAGATAATCCCCAACATTAGTTATTATTAAGTAATATATTATATATATTACTTAATATATAATACTATATAATTATATATTGCATATAACTATAAAATTCCCCTCTGACCCCTATGGGTGGTACGTGTCTTCCTCAATCTCGGGTCCTCTACCAGAGGCTGGGAGTTTGAGGGTTCTGCGCAG